ACATGACCGCCTTGCATCCAGGTTTGAGCTTGTCCCCCGAGCTTCGCAAAAAGCGCCCCCAAACGAAAATATGTAATCTTTACCAAAGCCGCTACTGGTAAGTGATGTGCACCCTTTAAAGTTGAATTGATTACCTCTGCCAAGTTGGTCGTCATGTGTCCATATCGATATCCACCATCATATGCGTTCATCCATATTTCTTTATCGATGAGGCTGATGTAATCGTATCCTTCCTCGTTCTTCGCCCACAAATCTTGAAGCATTGATTCAAACGTTCGATGAAGTAGTTTGTAACCTGATCAAAAAATGTATAACTTACTAACTTGCTTTCTTTGCAAAATTAAAACGATCGAAAGAAAACAAACTACATCAGTTTCACTTACCCATGCGCACAATTAATTGACGCTCATCATTCTTCTTGTACCTTTCATGGTAGTTCGCAGCAATGTGTCAGAGACAATACCTATGTTGGACAAAGGGTGGTTGCCACATTGGACCCAAAGACTCCATTACCGCTTTGATCTCAGCTCCGCGATCTGAAATGACACAGATGTTTTCCCTCGTGATAACATGTGCACGTAAATTTCGGAGGAAAAAAGCCCAAGAATCTGTATCTTCTCCTTCGACAAGAGCAAAAGCAACTGGAAGAATGTTGCGATTGCCATCTTGGACAATTGCCAATAATAAAAATTGCTTGTATTTTCCATACAAGAAAGTCCCGTCAATCTGGACCACAAGCTTATAGTATTTGGCAGCATTAACGCACTATGGGTAAGTCCAAAAAACCCAGTAGAATTGGAATCGATCGCAGAGAACTCGATCATTATGGTATGCATAGGAGGTTTCGAAGTCCACAATTGTCCCAAGATTCAACCTCCGCACCAGCCTAAACCAGCCTGGAAGTTCGTTGTAAGATGCATCCCATTCGCCATGAAGTTTGACAATGGCATTTTGTTTTGCCAACCAAGCTTTTTTATAGGAGATAGTGTACCCATACTGCAATTGTATAGCTGAAATCAACACAACAATAGCTATATGAGAGCTTGCTTTTACCATGGGCATGATGGCTTGGCATATCACTTCAGAGTCCAAGTTGGGATGATCTTGGTTGACCCCTCCAGCACAACATTTGTGAGGACCGTTGTATACTGTTAGTTCCCATCTGTTGTTTTTCCTCTTCCTTTTCGATATGTGAACCATCCAATTATATCCATTTTCACGTTGTGCACAATAACATACATATTTTTATATCGTGGAGCGGTCGACTCTCGATTGAACAGAATTACGGATATTGTAATTTTTATAGCCATCATCGCTTCTTCTTTGCTTGAAAACTCCATGCCTAAATATAACTCACAATTATTTATTGATGAGTATTATCCATAGTCACCGAGATGAGGCATATCCGCAAATTCTGGAACATACATTGCACCATAATCAGCTTTATACATGTGTGCTGAAGGGTCAGTCTGTGTCACATTTGTTGGAACTTCATCCACATCATCATCATCATCGGAGTTGAATTGCGGTGATTCTGGGTGAATGAATAGTCCAGTCTCAGCACCATCCGCACCAGGCACATGAAACGGTTCTTCTGGTAGAGATGATAGTTCCACCATGCTCTCCACATTTAGGTCGAAGAACCTACTAGTTACACGTCTTCCCCTTGAATTGGAAGGCATATCGACATTCAAATCGAAAAAGCTCGCAGTCGAATGCCTCCCCTTGGAGCTTGAACCTATCGTGTCAAATGGAAACTGCACAGATGGTTGCGTCGATGGCATCTCCATATTAAGGTCAAACGGATTTGCAGATGAATGCCTTCCCCTTGAACTGGACGTGATGTTGCCATACAGATTTTTCGTCGACCCACCTCGGTACATATCGTAAGGAGTTATTGATGAATGTCTCCCTATTATGGCATAAAAATCATTACACATTACTGTCGCCGGGCTGTCAACTTGATCAACTTGTTAAGCCAGCCCATAGTGGGAGCTTAATGATTGACCCCGAACGACACGCACTTGAATAAAATTTGCATACATCTCAATATCGGAGTCTGAATAATTACTTTGAGCTTCAACCATCATTTCAACATCATCATTGTTCAAAAGTTCGAACGCTGTATAAGTTAATGGCAACAATGATGTTGGAAATATGTACTGCAACGACGACATTCTTCTACTACTTCCAACATGAATCTTCCTCGAAATCTTCGTTATCAGCTCCTCAAGAGTTATGTTTCTCTTCAATGATATTTTAACACGCTCATTTGATACGAAAACAACGTCGGTTTCATCTTCTCAAATTTCACCATCATAATAAACAATAGCTGAAAGTCGCGCCATTCTTTGAGTTTAAAAGTACGACAATATTATATCTACAAAAAAAACAACTGAAACAATGCTGATTAAATAAATAATATATGAACGAAAATATAACAGAATAAGATTTTTACACATAAACGTAAATAATTTAAATAATATAATTTTATATTATTACCTGTACCGCAAAACTATTTCGACGTATATTCCCGCTTTCTAATTTTACAAACACAGAAATTAATTGACAACAATTAGTATAATATTTTTCAAATAATCATAATAAACAATAAATATAATAAAAAAATTATCACAAAATTACCTTATAACGAAAAATCGCACGAACTTCTGAATAAAATATGAGAAAATTGTCAGAATTATTGACTCGTTGACGGAATTGTTGTATTAATTTATAAGTTGAGAGGAGAGATGTGTGGAGATGTGAGGAACTTAACCCGGGGGAGAAGGGTATTTATAGCCGAGAAAAGTTGTAACAATTATACAAGGCGCGGTACCTGCCTCGCGCTATATATAATTATAAAGGTCAGGCGCGACCCCTGACCCGTGCTATACCCTACGTGGCGTAAGGCGCGCCCCAGGGGCCGCGCTATACACACGTGTATCCATGTCAGCATAAGGTGCATTGCAGGGGGCGCGCCTTACCCCACGTGGCACCAAATCAGCGTATAGCGCGCTGCAGGGGGCGCGCCTTACTGTAAAGGGTATTAGATCGGGAAATATAATCTGACCGGTGTTAGATCGATAAATATACCGGTCACCGGAAATTTTTTGTGAAAAACGCCAAATAAGTAAATTTTTTGAGGCTGAAATTGAATAGTAAATTTTTGAAAGTATTAAAGGGTAGTTTTACTATATAAAACTTATTTTTTGGGGACAAAAAGTTTTTTTTTTTAAACTATGGGACTAAGAAAATTTTACCATTTTATTTACTAAAGCCTACAAAGTTTGGGATAAAAGAGAAACTTCACTAAAATGTTATATGTTCATTTTAATATTTTATATTTAATTTGAATTTTTATTTGAAATTTGTGGTTGTCTTTACTTAAACTTTTAAGCATTGATCAAATTTAATGATGGAAGGATCACAATTAATAAGCTGTTTAAAGTTTTTCTTTTTCCTGCCATTCTGTTCCTACTACAGGAAAATTTGAAAGGAGAATTAAGCTGTTGCAATTCCTAGTTTCCTACTATAGGAAAATTAACCGAACTATTGATGTGGTATTTTTTTAAAAAATCAATAATGATATGATATTATTTTATGACGATATCATTGTTTATATATTAACAATTAGTGACCAAAATAAAATCAAAATATAATGTTACACATGGTTTTAAAATGAAAAATAAATGAATAACCAAAATGAAATAAAAATGATAGTTAAGAAACTAAATGTGTAATTTACCCTAAATATAAAGAGCCGATTTGCCTGACGTTCTAATGTGAGAGAAAAAGTCCAAGTCCATCGTGAAACGTTTTTGTAACGCGTTTTTTTCTCCTCCAATTGCATTGAAATGAAGACCCCACGCCAACCCATGCAAAAAAAAAAGTTGGTACTCATTTAATTTTATGATATTGACGTATTTTCTTAATATGTTAACATTTATGATTGAGTTTTTCAACAACAAAGGTGAAATCTAGTATAATTATGAATGAGATCAATTATCATACAAGTTTCTCGTGAGTATCTATGCAAAAAGTATTAACAAATAGTAACATATAGATTGTCATCAACTTGATAATATCCAATCTGAATTAATTGATCAATAGATCAAATATCAGTAATTAATTAAAAAAATAAATCATATTTACTGTACATTTTATTATTTTATTTGAGAGGGTCACTCTAAAATAAAAATGAAAATATATTATTTTATTACTTTTTACTAATGGTTATCTTTACCCTTACCTTACCTTAACTTAGCTCGTTCTTACCTAAGAATAGTCTTCAAAAGTTAAACATAAGTTCTTTCTTAAGATTATAATATACCTTGTTACTATTACTGGTATGCTTATTGTTATGACATAAACATATTAAGTTATTAACATAATATAAATTGATGCATTTGCATATTCATATTTTGTTTAAATTAAATAATATTTCTATAGAAAAAAACTTTTCAAACCCCGTAAAACTCAAAGATTAAGATCATGCGAATTTCTTTTTAAAAAGAAATTAAGGATTAAAAAAGTTTTAGAATTTTTTTGAAAACATCAATGAAAACTTTTTTGCATTTAATTGAACTTTTAAAATAATAAATTGCATCATGTAGCTCTTGATTTTTTTTCAGACTACCGTTATTTTATTGATGTGATCCTTGAGATGGTTAACATGATTTATAAATTTATTGACTTATAGTCTATATGTAAATAAAGATTGATATTTAAATAAAATTATATTTTTTCCGAATAAAATAAAATAAAGATTGATAATTACTTTTTTACTTTTTTTATTTTTAGGATTTTATCTTTATTAATTCGGACTGTTCTGTGTTGTAAGCATAGTTTTGGTAAGTGAATCTCGGGACATTTATTTAAATGATATTAAACTGCTTATCACATGAATGAAACCTATTAAAAATGATAATTATTTTGATATAGATTAAATAACCTAAAAGATGGAAGTTCAAGTGGTAAGATAATCGAAAACACGTACACAATTACATAAGGATTCGTTTTATTATTAAGCAGAAAGAGTACAGAAATAAAAACAAGTGGACCCACTGAATAATACATTGCCAAATATAAATGTCTACATTATTCACTTCAAACGCGGGGACTAGGCTCGACTCCTAATTTTCTTCTTGATGGTCTGTTAATATTTCTTTTCAAATCAACTATTGTTGCTTTATTTGAATCACAATTCTCCTGCAAAAAAAAAAAACTTTTATTATTGAACTGTTTAAGGATCAAAACATGCAAAACAATGTGAAATGATGCACCTTGACGAGATGGGCAAAAGAGAGGTTTTAGTTTATGTTACCTTTGGAGTACTGCCAAAGCCGTAGCTTAGTAGTGGTGAGGAGGAGGGGGTGAAGAGTAGACATAATGGGGTGATGGTGGTGGAGGAGACTTGTATTTGTATGATTCCTTGGGAGGAGGAGGAGGAGACTTGTACATATAAGGTGGAGGAGGAGAATGTACTGGCGGTGGTGGAGACTTGTACTTGTAAGGATGCTTGGGAGGGGTTGGTGAAGGAGGTGGTGGGGACCTGTACTTATAAGGGGGTGGAGGATAGTGCACCGGAGGTGGTGGAGACTTATACTTGTAAACTGGTGGTGGCGGGGGTGGAGACTTGTACTTATAAGGATGTTTGGGTGGTGATGGTGGTGGTGGTGGAGACTTGTACTTATAAGGATGCTTGGGTGGTGATGGTGGTGGTGGTGGAGACTTGTACTTATAAGGATGGTTGGGTGGTGATGGTGGTGGTGGTGGTGGGGACTTATACTTGTAAGGTGGTGGAGGATAGTGCACTGGAGGTGGTGGAGACTTATACTTGTAAACCGGAGGTGGTGGTGGTGGAGATTTGTACTTGTAAGGATGTTTTGGTGGCGATGGTGGTGGTGGTGACTTGTACTTGTAAGGATGTTTGGGTGGCGATGGTGGTGGTGGTGACTTGTACTTGTAAACTGGAGTTGGGGGTGGTGGAGGAGATTTATATTTGTATGGGTGCTTTGGCGGAGGTGGGGGAGACTTGTACTTATAAACCGGGGGAGGAGGAGGAGACTTGTACTTGTAAGGCGGAGGAGGATAATGCACTCGTGGAGGTGGTGGAGACTTATACTTGTAAGGCTTCTCGTGTGGTGGTGGAGGAGAATGGACTGGAGGAGGAGGCGGTGGTGACTTGTAATGATAGGGTGGTGGTGGGTACTTCTTAGGAGGAGGGGGAGGAGAAGAGTAAGCGTAATCGGCAGAGGTTTCGAAAGGCAAGTTGAGAGACACAGCTAAGACTAGAAGAGTGAGAAAGAGAGAGGCCATGGAAGACCCCATGTTTACTACAAAGCTATGTTTAGTTTTGTTATGCTCTTAGCCAACCTCTTTACTCCCTTTATATAGACTTTGGTTTTACCTCGTAAAAACGATAGAGTTCTTTTAAAATTGTAAAAATTTATTAGAAGAATTGTAAAAAGTAAATAAAACAGGGGTATATTCGATTGGTTCAGATTCATGATTGTATTAAATAGGAGAAATAATTTGAGAATAATTGAATTTGACAGCCTGGGTTTGGTTGCAAGCTAAGCAGAGAATAAATAATAGTGTCGTCTATAAAATATGTAATTTAATTTACATGTGATGTGATGGCCTCGTAGTTGTTTATCAGTTGGACTTCGTACATCAATCGTTCCTACCAAATCAGACACGATAATATTAATAAAAATTATAAAACATGAATAAATTACGAGTATAATAGTAACATAAGTTGTATTTCTAAAGATAGAAAATATATTTATTTTTCAAAAAATATTAATAAAAATATCAATAAATCATAACTCATAAATTCTAAAACCAAATCGTCATATTTATTGACATGAATCGTGTGTGTGTATATATATAGCGCTAGAATCTAATTATGTAGTGTAAAATTAAAAAGTTTTACATCTTTTTAAGATCGTTGGATGAAAAGAAATCAAATGTTGAAATTAATTCCTTATTTTTTTAGTGAGTATCTTTTCATTTCCTATTCTTAATTCCAGTCTTTGATTTTTTCAAATCCAACGATCTTAAAAATATGTAAAACTAAAAAAAATTTGACACTATGCAATTGGATCCTAATATATATTTATATATCACTCCTAAATAATTTATTTTTGAGAAATAATATTATTAGTAGAGATAATTATAAGTTTTGAATATAAATTATAAAATAAAAATAAAATATAAAATAATACATCTTCTATTGACATTAAGTACTGATTAATACTTAATTGTGGGTTCTATTTTAGATGAAAATCTCTCTCAAGTTATTTGAAAGGAAAAAAAGAACAGTATATATGATCAGATTTATACATAGGACTTAATTCACCCATCACCACCAAATGAACTCAACATGAATTTTCTTATTGCAAACGGAAATTTTTATTGCTATTAATAATATAATATAAATTATTCTTTTATTTTTCCATGGATTTAATTGCTTTGAAAACTTTGAATATTATAGGCACCTAACTTTTGCATGAATTTTTGGCGAAGTGACCTGGCGGCTTAGACTTTGTTTGCAGGGCTCCACCCTCTTCTTTGTCGTTTTCCATGCATTTAGTTTAATCATATACTTCAATTTCATCATCTACAGTTAATTATCGTCTTAATCAGGGATAAATCAAGGCCCTCGGATGTGATCGCACTCTCTAAAAATTTTAAATTTTTTTATATTTTAAGTTTTTTTGTATTTTTATTGATTATCTAATTGGTACTCCTTTAAATTCTATAATTTCGCACCCCTATAATTTTTAATATAAATTCTTAAGTTCGTATTCCTTAATAAATTTTTACGATTGTCCCTAATCTAAATTACAAATTTTATTAATTTAATAACGATAGTATGGACCAAATCAAGATTAATATATGCTGAAAAAGTTTTACGATTTCATTAATTTAATCACCGGCAATGGGTTCAAACAAGTCACAACTTGTTCTCTAATTCCTTTACTATATGTTTCGATTAAATTAATTTCACTTGCAATCTAATCGACGGTGCAGAAGCTTAAGTAAAAAGGGTTTAAGCAGTTTGATAAAATACCTTTCTCAACTAAATCAAATTTGATTTAAAAATTAAATTCATCAATAATATAAATTAGTTTTTTCTTCTCTAAATAGGAAAGAAAAGTCCTCGGGGTTCTTTTTTTAAAATCCAAATGGCGATCTAGATCGAATCTTTTGATTAATTTATTTTCCTGACATTGACATTTAAAGCTATTTAAAAATATCTAAAAATAAAAAATTAATTATACATGTTATTGGATCAATAATTTAAAAATAAACACTTAAGTAAATTATATCAAAGAAATTAATAAAAAATTAATTATACATGTTATTGGATCAATATTTTTCTGTACTGGTAATGAGTAAGATTATATCATCTCATCAAAAATAAATTATATAAATTTAATTTTGAATTTTATGACAATTCATAAGAATTAAATACATAACACTACGTAGAATTTATACACAGTTAATAAATTAAATAAAAATTCAATAAATAAAGGTTTGTTTATCCATTTATTTAGCTGGAATACATTTTTAACATTAAAAAATTTGGACAAAGCATATAATCGTCATGTCCCAAATATGAAAGCCCAACTAATCTGCTCATCGTCAAACTAATCATTAATAATAACTTAAAGGAAGTGTTATAGAATCAGTCGACAAAGTTTTTAATTAATTTATCCTAATTGATTTACCTTACTAAAAGTACGAATCCAAATGCCTAGAAAAAAGAATAGTAGTAAAAATGATATTCTTTCCTTCTTTGACGGGTATCGCAGTAATTCTTGACAACATTTTTTAAAGGTAGTATTTATCTGTAAATAATTTTTTTTGTTTCACATTTGTTTTAAATTTAATATTTTAATTTTAACTCTTTCGATATTATGATATTTTAAGATTGTATTTCTGTTATGTAACATATTTTTCAAGTATTGCATTATAAAAGTAATAAAAGTTTAAATTTAAGAATTAATATAATTATATAAACTAATAAATCATTCAAGGTTTTATCAAATTCAAAATTTCGGAATTATTTTTTTATCAAAATATGTAATAATTTAAAATTTAAATGAAGGTAGAAAGCAAGAAAAATAAAACAAAGAAAGAGACAACACAACTTTATGAAAATAATAAAGTTAACAAAGTAAGTTAGTACAGTTTTTATTTTTATTTTTTATTGATTTTATTGACCAAAGGAAAAAAAAGTGTTATGAAAAAGGAAAAAAATCATGATTTTACTTTTCAATATAAATTTAAATTTATTTATACCGTTAAGATTAGATTTAAAGTCATATCAATAAATTTCGTTTTTTATGTCGAAAAAAAGTCATATCAATAAAAGTTGGGCTAAACTACACATTTAATACATCAATTATCACTTTTTACATTTTGATAACTCAACTATTATTTTTTTAAAACTATGCCTAACACTACGTTGTAGTTTCATTTTTGATCACCCATTATTGGAAAAATAACAGAATTACTGATGTGGTGTCTTTAAAAAAATCAATAATGACATGAGATTTCCTTACGGTGACATGTCAGCTTCATTGTTAATTTTTTAAGAATAGGTGACTAAAATGAAATAAAAATCTAATGTTAACTATAATTTTGAAACAAAAAATAACCAAAATGTAAAAAAATGATAGTTGGGGATCTAAACATACAATTTACCCTAAAAGTTGTGATTGTTTTACACCTACTATCTGACAAAATCCAAGTCTATAACGAACCTATAACCTTGATCTTACTGGTTGAGATCTATGATAGATTAAAAATAAAAATATGGAGCCAGTTGAGGTTAAACAATTTGCAATCAGATCGAATGATTAGCAGATAAACTTTGATCCAATCTCCTATCCTTTTGCTTTCTTAATTCACATTTAAATCACCGACGGATGAATGATGGTAAATTTTGACTCATTAAACTGTTCCTACCACTCATCTAATATTTATGATTAAAAAAATTGGCAGTTGTTTATTGAATTTTAACTTCTAATTTCAGTTCTAATATATTTTTAAAAATGTTAAAATAAATTTATTCATATTTTTTTATGTTTTTACATTAATCTTATTAATCGGCTAAATATCTAATGTTAACGTTAGAGGTCTAAAAATATTTTTTTAATTAAAAATCAATTCTTACGGGAATATTTTTTTTCTTCCGATAGAAAACCATACACGGTGAGAATCTCCATGTTTTGTGTTTACATTTTCTTGGAAACCAAACATGCTTATAATCCTGTCCAAGATTTGGAGTATAATTTTAATCCATTCTCAATTTTGAAAGTAGTACACGTAGAGAACTGAGAAGTTTCCATCAATCAATTTAATAAGATAATAAATTAAAACTTTATCAATATTTTATAAAATTTCGGTATAACTATCCATGAGGAATACTAACCAATAATTTGTAATGTTAGGTATATGCCGTTGAAGATGCCATGCAAGGATCAAACGTTGATTTAACATTCATGATAGTGAGTAGGGCAGCCAAATTAATCTAGAATTGAAACTTGGTTTGATTCGTTTAGTTATATATGGAAATAGATTAGCAATAATTAAATTATTTTATCAATTAAAAACGTGAATTACTAACAACTCCATTTTTATATGATATATATTATATCAATAGATCTCCATATTTTTTTATAATTATTAATATTTGATTTATTGATTGATTAATTTAGATTGAATACGATAAAGATTTATTATGAAGACAATCATCTTAATCCAATTTACTTTATTCATAATATCATAGTTTGAACTCTAAACATTTTAAAAAAAATCTAATATCTCATCGTATCAAATTATCATAAATTTTAAAGGAATTCATTAATTATTTTTTCACATTTTTCGCATAAACTTCAAAGATAAGTTAAATGATAGAGATGGGAAGGAATTAAGATTGCTGTCCCACATGGGTTTAATGTATTTAGGTGATTAGCCTAATTAGTTTCCTTCCCAAGAAGAACACAAAGGTAACCATAGTTTCCTTAAGGTCTATTACTTATAAGGCCAGATTTTGCTTTATAACTCGTACAAACTAAGTGCTTCGTCTTCGGATGGACATTAAGTCCCTCTAACATAGAATATGATTCGGTAAATTGCCAACACTCCATTGGACAACTATTTTCTGAAACTAGACGTATCATGTATCCTACCTTATTCATATATATTAGGTTAAAACTTATGTTTGACGCTTCAAATTTTAGAGTTTGAATCTTGTAAACGATAGTTCTTTTTTCTATTGATGGACATTTTAAGCGAGTGCTAGATCTTTGAGGATTTTGCGTTGCCACTAATAATTTTAATTGTTTGTTTTT